GACATGAAGATAAATGGCACAGCATAGAAAACACAGAGACAAACCCAAATAATACAGTATCTCATATTAAGGCATCATACACATACATTGGAGAAAAGATATCTTCTTCAACAAAAGGTGCTGGGAAAACTGGAAATCCATATGTAATAAAATGAAGTTAGACCCCTACTCTCATCCTGTACAAAACTCAACTGTAAGTGGATCAAGGATCTAGGCATTAGACCAGAGACCCTGCCCAACTAAAAGAAAAAGTAAGCCCAAACCTGTATCATGTCAGCTTAGGAACTGAATTCCTCAATAAGACTCCTAAAGCACAAGAAGTAAAAACAAGGATCAATAAATGGGATGGAATCAAACTAAAAAGCTTCTTCACAGCACAGGAAACAATCAAGAACATGAACAAAGAGCCCACAGAATGGGAGAAAAATCCTTGCCACTTGCACCTCAGATAGAGCATTCATCTCCAGGATATTAAAAAAACCTCAAAAAACTTAACACCAGGGCTGCGGATGTGGCTCAAACAGTAGCGCGCTCGCCTAGCGTGCGTGCAGCCCGGGTTCGATCCTCAGCACCACATACCAACAAAGATGTTGTGTCTGCCGAGAACTAAGAAAAAATAAATAAATGTTAAAATTCTCTCTCTCTCTCTGTCCCCCCCCCTCTTTAAAAAAAAAAAAAAACTTAACACACACAAAAAAAATCAATAAATAGGCAAAGGAATTTAACAGTTATTTCACAGAAGAAGAAATACAAATGGTCAACAAATATATGAAAAATGTTCAACATCTCTAGCAATTAGAGAAATACAAATTAAAACTACACTGAGATTTCATCTCACTACAGTCAGAATCAAGAATACAAGTAACAATAAATGTTGACAAGGATGTGGGGGAAAAGGTACACTCATACATTGCTGGTGGGAGTGCAAATTGGTGCAACCACTCTGGAAAGCAGTATGGAGGTCATTAGGCCCATTTATCCCACTTCTCGGCATATACCCAAAGGACTTACTATAGTGACACGGCCATATTAATGTTTACAGCAGCTCAATTCACAATAGCTAAACTATGAAACCAACCTAGGTGCCCTGTAAAAGATAAATGGATAAAGAAAATGTGATATATATAAACAATGGAATATTACTCAACCAATTATGGCATCTGATGGTAAATGGATAGAACTAGAGGATACCATGCTAAGTGAAATAAGCCAATCCCCCAAAACTAAAAGCCAACTGTTCTCTTTGATTTGCTGATACTGACTCTTAATAAGGGGGAAGGAGGACTACAGTTCACCAGATTGGACAGGAGGTAATGGGGTGAAAGGATGGAGGATGGGAATGGGAAAGACAGTAGAATAAATTGGATATAACTTTCCTGTGTTCATATATGAATACACCAGTGTAACACCACATCATGTACAACCACAAGAACAGGAAGTTATACTCCATGTATGTGTGATTGTATATGTCAAAATACATTCTACTGCCGTGTATAACTAAAAAAAAAGAGAGAGAGAGAGAGGGAGTGACTGGGTTAAATGACTCTGTGTGTGTGTGTGTGTGTATGTACATAAATCATCCAAATACTTACTTTTTTAAAAAAAAAAGAAATGTTTGAGGAAGCATTCAGTAAATAGGAATGCTGAAAGTATGAAATAATAGGTACTTTTCTGCCTACTTTAGACAGTATTAAGATAAAATTTATATGAAATAAAAAACAGACATTTAAGTGAAATATTAAAGAGTTTTGACAAATTGTATCTTAAAACTATTAAATAGCTGAATGAAATACTTCTGTGTTATCATCCCAGTTACAAAATCAGATCATTACATTTGCCAACCAGAGTGGAACCTAAACTCAGATTTAAAATGTTGCGCCATTTAGGCACAGACAATACTTTTTTGTTTAAATTTAAAGTGCAAAGAATATGATTTAATTTACATGTCACCAACTTTCCAACAATAATCTAGGGCAAAGTATATAAAAAAATTTTAAAAGGTTAATTTAGAGTAATAAGTCTAAGTTTATATGAATGGTGCAAGAAAATTTTAAATGAAATAAATTATAAATAACTGAAACTTAGGAATATACTGCTGAGCATCAAAAGGAGACCTTGAGGCTATCAAAAAAGAAGAGGAACATGAAGAACTGTTGCTCAGAGAACAACAGAGAACTGAGAAGGAAAAGCTGAATCTTTCAACCCCCAGGTTGCTCATCTTCTTAGTCAAGGAGGTATCAATAAGAAGACTTGTTAGTTTTCTGATGTATCAAAAGCATCACCAGAAAATATTGACATGAGTTTTGTTCCCTTGGAACATTTGCTGTTATTAATATTTTTTAGAGACACAAACTACTCGATACCTAATTCAACCATAGACAGCACATGGTAGTCACATACAACTAGATTTTTTTGGCTGCTTTTTATTATGGGATCCAAACATGAATAAAGAACCATCTGACTTCTTTGAAAAGAATTTCAGTGATATCTGATCCTCAAAATTACTAATATCTGTGATAAAAAAGGAAATATCACAATGGACACTACAGAAATACAGAAGATAATTATTTTGAAAAATTGTACTCTTATAAAATAGAAAATATTAAAGACACTGACAAATTTCTAGAGTCATATGACTTGCCCAAACTGAATCAAGATGATATACACAATTTAAAGAGATCAATTTCAAGCAATGAAATAGAAGATGCTACCAGAAGCCTATTGACCACAAAAAGCCCAGGACTGGATGGATACACAACTGAGGTCTACAAGGCCTTTAAAGAAGAACAGCAGAACTCCTCAAATTATTTCATGAAATAGAAAAAGAGGGAACACTTCCAAATTCATTCTATGATACCAGTATTTTTCTTTTTATATAGAACACCTCAAGTTTTTCAGTGCATGCATCTTTCTAAGTATTTGCATCACTGTTGCCTTTGCATTTCCCCCTTTAATCACCATAGTGTTTTTAATATTTCCACTGAGTTTTTGCTCTCTCAAAGAATCTGTTGGCCCTTTGCATTTTGGGTCTTATAATTTGATCCAAGACATCTATGGCTGCCACAGCCCCAGGCTAGTGAAATCTCAGACAACATTTTATGAAATATAAAAGAAGTCCCTTTTCTATAAGACTAGATATAATTATATGTTATACATGCTTATGTCAAAAATATAAACTATGCCATAAAATAATAATAAAATTTCCTAGTCTTCACATTATAAGAAATTATGAAAGCCACATGAACTATGTCATATCTTCATTTTTAAAAAGCCTAAATCTATACTTATTGGTTCTTAGCTTTTACAATACAGTAAATATATTGGGCTGGGGATGTGGCTCAAGTGGTAACACACTCACCTGGCATGCGCGGGGTGCTGGGTTCGAGCCTCAGCACCACATAAAAATAAAGATATTGTGTCCATTGAAAACTAAAAACATATTTAAAAATTCTCTCTCTCTCTCTCTCTAAAAAACATAGAGATGTTAAAAGTGATGGCTATTTTTATCAAGACAAAGCAAATACACAATATTTGTACATTTCACTATTTCTAAATTTCACAATGAAAAGGAAAAAAATAAGATTTAAAAAATATATTTGAAGCCCCAAAGTGCAAGATGGAACAGATACTATAAATTATTTGCTTTTGAAAAAAGAAGTGCTTATAAAGGATTTAAAAAATAACCTTGGGGGGGCTGGGGATGTGGCCCAAGCGGTAGTGCGCTCGCCTGGCATGCGTGCGGCCCGGGTTTGATCCTCAGCACCACATACAAACAAAGATGTTGTGTCCACCGAAAACTAAAAAATAAATATTAAAGTTCGTTCTCTCTCTCTCTCTCTCTCTCTCAAAAAAAAAAAAAAAAAGCCTCCTGCTCCCCTTGATGGGCAGAATCACAGCCTCTGGGACAGGAATTCTCTGTGCTTCTCTTTTTAAAAAATAAATAAATAAATAACTTCGGGGCTGGGGTTGTGGCCCATTGGAAGAGTGCTTGCCTAGCATGTTTGAGGCACTGGGTTTGATCCACAGCACCATATAAAAATAAATAAATAAAGGTATTAAAAAAATGACACCATGTTTAAAAGAAGGTAGTCTTTTTTGAACTACGCATATGTGCATGTCACTACATATCTGCTCATCAATTAAAACTTGCAGTGGATTTTTTCCTTGTTTTTAGGATTCAGTTCTAACTTCTGAGCACATTTTACACAGTCTAGCCTCTCCCTACCTCTACAACCCCATTGGGAATCACACTTTTCTCTCTCTTCATTCCAAACCTTCAAACATGATAGGGTCATCGACATTCTCTCTCCTCAATTTTTCTCTTCCTATAAGCCTCTCTTCACTTCATGTCTCATTAACTCCTATTTAACCTTCAGATCTCAGGTAATATAGTGCTTTTTCAGGGAAATCTATCTAAATCTCACTGGCTAAGTCAAATACCTATTTTAAGTTCATAATGCACAACAGTCCTTGGTAGCATCTATTATTATAGTGATTTTTGCATTGCCTGATATAGTTATGGTGCCTCCCTCATTCCCAGGACAGCAAGGACAGCGTGTATTTTGCTCATCATTATATTTCTAAAGACTAGCCCCTGGTAGATACACATTAAATATTTTCTTGGCCAGCTCAGTAGCACCTGCCTATAATCCCAGAGACTCAAGAGGCTGAGGTAGGAGGATCATAAATTTGAAGTTAGCCATGGTAACTTAATGAAACCCTGTGTCAAATATAAAAAGTAAAAAGGTTGGGATGTAGCCCAGTGGTAGAGTATCCTTGGATTTAATTCCCAGAACCAAGAAAAAAAATTTTTTTCTCAATGAAATGAATGAAAATGTGCATGTGTACACACAAACACAAAGACTGCAAATTAAGATTGATTGTGCTTGGGTGGTAGTATCTATATGAGTTCTAAAAGAATCTTCTATATATTCCAAATTGCCTTTAATATAAATTACTAGTATAACCAGAAAAGAAAAGAAAAAAATATATATATACACCTAATGGTTGCAGTAAATATCTTCTGGTATTGAAAATTCTTGCTACTCCAGCCAATGTTAATACCCATGTCTCAGCCCACTGCTTCTCTGCTGTATCTCTTGAATGATGAATGAGAATATTGCCACCTCCAGATTCAATCTTTTCTTTGTCTGCAGTTGTAGAAGACTCTCGAACTCGGTCCAGTAGATTAAAGAGAACCTAAATATTTATAAAAATGTCATACAAAAAATATTGATACTTAAGTAACAGTGTAGAAAACCAGAAGTTGTATAAAAAATATTATACCTTACAGTCTTATTCTTTTTTTTTTTTTTTTGGTAGTATTGGGGGGTGAACCCCAGAGCCTCCTGTATACGAGGCAAGCACTGTACCAACTGAGCAATATCCCCAGCCCTCTGACAGTCTTATTAATCCCCATATTAGATGAAACTGACCAATTAAAGTAACCATGTATTTTCAAGTCATATTTAAGGTCATGAAATATAAAACATTAAAATAAACTAAACAGAACATCATGTAAGACTTGTTATCAATGGGACATCCATGGAGATAATGTTAAAACAAAACAACAACAAAAACAACAAAGGTTAAGGAGAAGGTTCCCCAGGCAAAAAATATATTTATGGAAGATATCCAAATTGAGGTTACAACTGAAGCTCTAGGACTAGCTAAGGGTGCTAGAAAGAAAAAAAAGAAAGAAATCAACAAGCAAAAATTAATTATAATTTGGGGAATATTTGCACTTAGGAATAAGCACAATGAAAAACAAAATTAAAACTAAATAGAGAAATATATACATGCTGTGAAACAAAAGCTAAAAAAAGAAAATTTCAAGAAGATAATAGCATTAAATGCTAACAAAAAATAAGTAGGACTAGCACTGGGTATAGGCCAAAGGACTTGGGAAACAGAAGACCATCTATAGCCTATGAATGATTTCTGTGGTTCTCAAAGTATGGTTTTGGAACCAGCAGCATCAGCGTCACCCAGAAGTTTGACTGAAATGTGAATTTTCAGGATCCACTCCAGGTCAAAAAATCTGAAATAATGGAGGTCAATTCTAGGGTGGAGCTAGAACCTTAAACAAATCCGCTAAATGACTCTATTGCACTCTAATGTTTAAGAGACCTTACCCTGAAGTAGAATAATTTGGAAATCAAATTACAAGGAACAAGGGAATGGGGAAGTGAGGAAGAAAAAAAATCATTGCAAACTAGGCAACAAAAATATTAAAAATGAAGCTACTTAGCTGGGCCCATCTAAATGGGAGGATGAGGCAGAAGGTTTACAAGTTTGAGACCAGCACGGATAATTTAGTAAAACTCCCTGAAAACAAAACCTAAAAAGGGCTGGGAATAGCACTCAGAGAGGTAGAACATATCTGGGGAGGAAAAAAAGAAGCAGAAGCTATTTAAAAGCAAAACAAGAATTAGAATAAATGTTCATTAAAAAAAAAAGAGGGACTTTGGGCTAAGGTTGCAGTTTAGTGGTAGAACACTTCCCTAGCATGTGTGAGGCACTGGATTTGATCCTCAGTACCACAGAAAAATAAATAAATAAATAAAACTAAGGTTAAAAAAAGGAAAGAGGGACTTAAGCATGTTTGGGATCTGAGGAGGAGCCCAGGGACAGAGGTGAAACAGAAGACAGAAGCAAACAGGGCTTTTACCATTAACATAAAATTTTTACTTTTCAGTTAAAAATAAATAAATAAAAATTTAAACAATAAGGATGGAAAGATGGTTTTAATTTTTTTTAACTGGAGAAAATATATTATTAATTTTTAAGAAAATATTTTGGGGTCTATTATAAGGTTTCAACTCTATTATAAGGTATTGTTGGTTTCACAAATCCTTGTTTTACCTTTTGGAAAACAAAGGAGTGAAAAAAAAGAAAAGCACAGATAGAACATGAGACAAAAAAAAGAGATGAATAACAGAAATGGAACTTTTAATATTTAACTTTTTCTGTGGTAGGTATAATTTAAAAATATGACATTTTTTTGTCTTGTCAAATATACAAATGCATGRAAACTCTTTAAAAAATAAAAAGAAACAAGTTTAACTGAAAAAAACAAATACACTATAAAAGCATATAGTACCTTCCAAATAACAGTGTGCCAGGTTGAATGCTGTAATAAAGTTCCATGTGCACCAATTGTAGAAAACAGAGTCTGCCCTGCACTCTTTCTGACAGCAGGACGGGGGTCCACACACAATTCACCCAATTTTGCATAAAGACATAACCATAAGCAATCAAATGGTGGCGCAGGGTGGAACGGCCGATTTAAAACCACTCCTTTCTCTTCTGCCTGCTTTTGCTGTGCTGCCTCTTCTTTATTTAATTCTTTTTCAATAATTTCTCCTCTTTGGAAAAAATAATCTGAAATATTCCACTAAGGAAAAAAGCAGAAAAATATCACTTTATTCACAGATTTTGTTTTAAACACATAGTTAATAAGTAATGTGGTTGTTTCACTTTTCATAGTAAAACATTTAAAAAATTACTTCATAAATCTCCTTTCTCATAGAATAAATTCAATGGAAACATCTTTACTTCCTCTATCATGTTTCGGATTCCAGGAGAACAATCCATCTTCTCTAGCACTATCCTGTTCCCTAGACCTTTTTTTTTTTAAACATTTTATTGTGAAAAAGTTCAAGTACATGCAGAAAACAAGGAGAATATAAGGTACTTCAATGTATTAATATACACCTTGATAAAACAATTGCTAAAACATAACTAATAATACCATTACTATCATAGTTAAATCACTAACAATTCCTTAATATCATTACACAAAAACTGTATAGTCTCCCTTCCCTTTCCCTTTCCCTTTCCCTCCCTCCCTCCCTCCCTCCTTCCTTCCTTCCTTCCTTCCTTCCTTCCTTCCTTCCTTCCTTCCTTCCTTCCTTCCTCTCTTCCTTTACTTGCAGTACTGGGGATTGTACCCAGTGGTACTCTACCAATGAACTACATCCCTAAACCATTTTATGTTGGGACAGGTCTCCCTAAATTGCAGAGGCTGGCTTCAAACTTGCAATCCTTCTTCAGCCTCCCAAGTAGTTGGGATTATAAGTATATGATACCATGCCCAGTTTTTATTTATAATTTTACATACAAAAAAAGAACAATTACTATCTTCAAGCATGCCTATAACTTTATTCTCAACCAAAATATAGTAAGAGAATTAATGATAATTTATGCCAATGATAAAAATGTAGGGGATCCAATACTGCAAACATAAATGTAAAATAAAAGATAAGACACCTGCAGTAATTTAATTAACAATGAACTAACCAACCACTTGTGGGAAGCAATTTTATATATAACATGCTTATTTTTTTTACATAATTATATTTTTAATATTTTTTAGTTGTAGTTGGACACAATACTTTTATTTTATTTATTTTTATGTGGTGCTGAGGACGGAACCCAGCACTTCACACATGCTAGGCAAACATTCTACCACTGAGCCATAATCCCAGCCCCACATAATTATATTTTTAAGAGTAAAATACTAACTTATCTAGCTTGTGAGGGAATTATTTATTTATCTATTTTTTTGAGGTACCAGGGACTGAACTCAGGAATGCCCAGACACTGAGCCACATCCCCAACCTGTTTTTTATTTTTAATTTTGAGACAGGGCTTCACTAAGTTGCTGAGGGCTTTGAACTCACTATCCTCCTGTCTTAGCCTCTTGAGCCACTGGGATCACAGGCATGTGCCACCTTGCCTGGCTTGTGAGGGAAATTTAAGTTCAACTTTATAAACCGTCTGCATTATAATATGTATTTTTAAAACTCTAAACAATTGTCTTAAATATATAGCTCCTTTCATGTTGACTTCATATAATGTTGACAATATCCTAACTTAGATTTTATTATTTCTTTTTTCAAAATGTGTAAATGAGGCTCAGAGTTCAACTTTATAAACCGTCTGCATTATAATATGTATTTTTAAAACTCTAAACAATTGTCTTAAATATATAGCTCCTTTCATGTTGACTTCATATAATGTTGACAATATCCTAACTTAGATTTTATTATTTCTTTTTTCAAAATGTGTAAATGAGGCTCAGAGGTCTATAACTCAAAAATAAGAGTCAAATATAATTCATATTTTATATATATCCCCCAGAGCCTAGGGTCTTCTCCTATGATTTTTTTGTCTCCTAGAGTATTTCTGATAGACTACAGGACTATGTAAATGGTACAGAATTCTATTGAAGCTTTATTTACAAATGAATAGTCCAAGAAAATGTTATTAAAGTATATTTAAAATCAGTAAACTTTCACATTAAAATTAACTAATGGTTTTCCTTATGTATATATAATTTGTTTACTACATCATCTCACAACAAACCTTATAAAAGTCAATCTTCAACATATCAAAAGTTCTCCAAATATTCTGCTATTATGAATTATTTCTTATGTTATTTAATTCTTCATGGAAGAAATATTTGATATTCAAGTCATTCAAATAATTTTCTTAGAGCCAAAACCATATTTGTTTGGCATTCACTTCCAACTGTATAACAGTAATTTCTAAGTTATGCTATCGTAAGAAAGGCGATGATACTTACCAACAAACCTATTGAAGTTAAACTAATATTTAGTTCTTGGTTATGAAGTCCAAAGCTACCTGCAACATCTACAACTATCTGTAAGCAAGTACAAGGCATTGTTGGTAGAAAATCTGTCACAACTAATTGAAGACACTGGAATGCGGTTCGTATCAAGGATTCTCTGAAAACACAAAAGAAATGTATATTGATGCATTTAAAAGAAGTGTGTAAAAGCATATACCTTACAATAATTTGAACAAGCAAAATTTTATTTTACAATTTTAACAAGAAAACCCTCCCTAATATAGATCATATAGTACTTCAATATTTATAAGTGTAAAAATGATATACTTACTTTAAAATATACAACTAATAATAAAGAACCTCAGAGGTAGTAAGAAATAAAATTAGCAGATTAAGAAAAAGGACATGAAAATGAGTATTAGCAATGTATCATTTCTATTTGTACTTTACATTAAGTAACCAAAAGAAAATTTGGACAACGAATAAGAATGGTAAATTGGCATAGCTACTTTTCTTTCCATTGTATCCCCAATATCTTACATAATGCCGTGCACATGTTAATAACCATAATTCGCTCAATAAAAATTTACTCAATAAATGAAAATGTGTTCTTCATTCTTTTATAAATATACAATTATCTTCTTTAAATCTTCAAAGGAATATAACATTCTATGAATGTAAACTGTAAGAAGAGTGAATTTTGAATTTCAAATGAAATTTGGTTTTGAAGAAAAATTCTGATGGTAAATAATGAAAAGGATGGTTATAATAACTACCTTTTATTAGTATGTCATGTACTTTTTAAACATTTTACACATTTTTATAATGTCCTATTATATACACTGAGAAAAATAACTTCAATTTGATCTAAGCTCATCTCCCTTCGCCTCTTTTATTTGGGGGGAGGGGAGTGTAGTACTTGGGATTAAGCCCAGAAACACACTAACACTGAACTGCATCCCCAGCCCTTTTTATTTTTTATTTTGATAGGGTCTCACTTAGTTATACAGGCTGGTCTGGAACCTATTACCCTCTGCCTTAGTCTTCCTAGTTGCTGGGGTTACAGATGTGCACCATTATGCCTAATTACCTCAATATTTTATAGCATTTAAGAAAATTTACTGGGCTGGGGTTATGGTTCAGTGGTAGAGCACTCACCTAGCATGTGCAAGGCCCTGGGTTCGATCCTCAACATCACATAAAAATAAATCAACAAAATAAAGGTATCGTGTCTAACCAAAAAAATAAATATTTAAAAAAAAGAAAATTTACTACTATGAACATTTAAGAACATTTAGTTTTTCTTAATATTTTCAAGTATCTCAATCAGCTAAAACTCCTATACTTATTACAAAATAAGATACTATGAGTCCTATTGCAGAATTATATACAAATATATCTATCCAGTATCTGCCAAATCTCTCCACTGGAGTTCTACCCTAAATTAAATCCTAAATTAAATAAGATCATACATCGACTTCAAATTTGCTCTTCTTTCTGTATTCCCTATGTAGTTAATGATACCATCATCCACTAAACTAATTGCCTAAGTCAGAAATCTGAGAATCATGCCTGATTTTTATGCCTCCATATACCTAGAGTTAATTGGTTAAATAACTCAAATCCATCTCCTCTTATTCTTAGAGAGCATTTGTAGACTTTCTTGTTTCCCACCTTAACCTCTTGCTGCTGTCATGGTGTATCTATGACATCTGCATCTTTTAATATTTTTTGCTCTGTCCCCTTCCACCTAGAGCCTTAATAATTTCATGGCATAACAAATTACTTACTTCCTTGGATTCTATTTTAAAGCAGGAGCTATTTATCTGTATACTCAGAATAACTAGTAAGCACAATATCTGAAATACACAGAATAAGTGTTTAATAAATAAATGCAAGTTATTTTAAAGCAATTTCTTAGATTTCCTCATACACACAGTGAAGTCACATTCCTAAAGATTATTTTGTATCTTATCAAATATTTGTTTTAACAAATCCAAATCTTATAAAAAGTCTAATCTTTGGGTGTATTATAAAAATTTTTAAATTGGTTTGTTTATCTTATTGTAAATAAAAACCTTGTATTCTAATATAAAGGTCAAACAGCAATACTCCCATCCTTTTAAAACAATGGTAATAATACCTAAAAATTCCCTATAGCCACTTGGGGGTAGTTTAAGAAAAACTATTATGGGCCTTGGATTTATACAGAAAGGACATGCATAAAAAAATTACTATACTGCATGATTTTTAGGATGGATTCCCCTTCTACTTGTATTATTTTGGGGATATTAATTTCAAAAACTTACCCTTGATCATTTCTGATTGCTCCCATGACTCCAAGAACCAATGGCCAACCAGGTCCTAGACTGTCTCCCTGACTCTGCAGAATCTGCAATACACATTCTAATTGCTTCAGTCGTATATCTGGATGGTTAATATTGGACATCTCCTTTAATGGATTCAATAAAAGCAATTGCAGTCTCTGAAAAGCAGACAAGAAACTAATTAGGAAGAGAAATTTAAAAAGAGAGGAATTCTTTGTTGTTCCCTTTTTCTTATCTTTATTTATTTTTTCTTTTCTTTTAAGACAACATCTGACTTGTTGCCCAGGCTGGTCTTGAACTTCTGGGATCAACTGATACTTCCACCTTAGCCTCCTGAGTGTTGGATCTATATAGGCATGCACCACAGCACCCAGCTTGTTGCTTTCACTGCTTGTTAAATTCACCATCACTCAAGACTACCAAGGTAGGCAGAATTTTTTTCTACCAAAATAAACATTGAACGTGACATCTCTAACAGTATTCATTAGAGATTTGTCATTTATATTTTTAATGAGAAAAAAACCCAAGTCTTTAAGATGTTATATTTTAAGATAAAAGGGTAGGTATCTTACTTTGAAAGATAATAAATATAGAACCATATAGAAATCAATTTCATTAAAGACCATATATCTCTAGCAGTATTTGAAGAGTAGAAAACAATCACCAATTACTAAAATCACCTTTAATATTCTTTATTATTATACTACTACATGTATTTAAATTTAAAATTCCTAAGTGTGATGGAATAAAAGGAATAAAATGTTTAGAAAATGAATAAGTATGGCAAATTCTAACAAAGACATAAAACCATGAAATTTGTTGCAGAGTAAACAAGAGCACTTGATTCTATCCTGTTCAGTATCTGAAAGCACTTGCTCCATTTTTTTTTTCATTTTTCTTTTCTTTAAGAGTTCTTTATTTGGTTACTGACTGAACAAATAATTTATTAAGCTCTAACTATACATCAAGTATTAAGGTGAACATTGAAAATACTGGAAGTTACACAACTATTTTTTTTAAAAAAATTCAAATTGTAAAAAAATATATAAAATCACTAACATGTAAGATGTAAAAGAATATGTATCTTTTCTGTCTTGTTGACTACTCCGTTCCAAGAGCTATGCTGAATAATTACATGTTGAGTAAATTTGTAGAACTGGAATATAATAAGATGTGGGGGCAATGAGAATATTTATTAAATGCCTCATTCCTACTCAGTCCTGAAGCAGTAAAACTTTGGTGGACTTTTAAAAACTGTTGCTATGGTTCAGACGTGGTATCCCCCAAAAGCTCATGTGTGAGACAATGCAAGAAGGTTTGAAGGAGAAGTGATTAGGTTGTACGTCAACTTAATCAGTTAATTAATCCCTGATGGGATTAACCAGGTGGAAACTGGAGGCAGGTGGAATGTTGCTGGAGGAAGTGGTTCATTGGGGATGTGGCTTTGAGGTATATATTTGTATATGACAATAGGAGACCTCTTTCTCTGTTTCCTGATCACCATGTGAATTGCTCCCCTTTACCACACACTCTGCCATGATGTTCAGCTTCACCTCAAGCCCTAAGAAATGGAGCCTGCTGTCTATGTATGGAGACCTCTGAAACTATGAGCCCCTGAATAAACCTTTCCTCCTCTACAATTGTGCTGGTCAGGCCTTTAGTCACAGTAGCAAAAAAGCTGACTGAAACAACTGTGTAAGATATATGTGAATGATAAAGAGTATCAAAATGATGAATATTTTAAATATACTCTAAAAGTAAAAAATAACTTAAAATTTTAAAAATGAAAATCTATTTTATTGTGCATATTTCTTCTGCCATTTGTTTTCTCTCCATGTAGTATAGCAAAAGGAAAAAGTCAGAGATGTAAGGACCAAAAAGGTCAAAGCTCTAAAATGAAGCCTTAGCACTTCATGAAGAGTAAAACTTGTAAACTAGAAGACCAATCTATGTAATTTATTAACTTAATTCAGTGTCATTCATGAAGTGTTTAAAATTTTTCATGAAGACCAAGAATCTCTTACCTTTAATAAGAAATCAATAGCCTAAATATAAAACATTTCTAAAAACTCTCAATTAGACTATTATCTACGTGAAAACTAAGAAAAACTACATATAGAAAAGGATAATTTCATATTAAGTATTCTTTTTTACCTGGTTCTGTGAAAGTGGAGGCTCATGGTTAAATGTTAATCCTGCTTTAATAAGTGAAGTTAAAGCTTCTGCTCCCCATTCTCTCATTCGAGAGTTTGGATGCTGGCAGACCTGAAGGTACATATGTTGAAAAATCAAATATTTAATTTGTGTACATAACTATGAATCACACATCAATTGAGCAAAGAAAAATTAAAATATTACATTTTCTTTTCACTTTTTAAAAATTACATCAAGTAAGGATTGGAAGAAAACTTACATCAAAAATGTCAGTAAGCTTACCTTCTGAATGAGGGCAAGAGGAAGCAACAAAGAGAAGACAAAAGAAAAAAGCTGAAACTAAAACAAGTCACAGAAAAGAAAGGATTTCATAATAGTAAAGGACACATCATCAGAGCAAATAAAAGCGGCAAGCTGAAATACTAAGGCTTTCTTTCTTTTTTTCTTTTCAGTGCTGGAGATTATACCCAGGTCCCTGCAAGTACTCTAATACTGAACTACATCTCTAATCTCAATGCTAAGTTCTTAATTAAGTTCACAATCAAAGACTGTGATACATTTTAAAAATTTTATCTATTCCCATTTGATGAGATGATCCAAACATGAAGAAATCAGCTCATATCCTTTACTTATTCTTAAAAATAATTCTGATAAAATAAAGAGAAAACCTTCTGCATGTCAGTTTTTCTAATAATAACTTTCTCAAGTTTCTAAAATAATATCAAATGACCTAGATAACAGGAACCTGAATTGTATATAGACACATGTACTAACACAAGAAACTGGCTATTAAGCAGCAACTAATCATTAAGAGTACCCTCAAACTGAATGCAAGATAATATAAATTCAATAAAATCCCCTGGCACTATCTATGGTTAAAAATACCAAATAGATTTTCCCCTAATAGGTTATCTCATAATTGTAGCAAAAATCTGTAAATGAACAGTATTTACTACTAACTCTCAGCCCCAACTGGCCTGATGGATCATGAGACTGTATAATAAGCTGACAGCTGATTTCTCTGATATTTATCAATTTAAAAATTTCACCCATTTTCAGCCAATAAAAGCAATCTACTCCCTCACCAAACCAATCACTACACAACATTAGTCCTTGATAAAATATACGGATGTAAATGCACAGGAAAGGGGCAAGGAAAGTTAATACTTTGGTTATCTGGAACTACTGGCTCAATGTGGATGTCTTTATTAATAAAAAATAAAATATAATATTTAAGAAAGAGTTTACCTCAAGTAGATGACCAGTGAGAGGTCTCCATAAAATTTCTATTCGGTGCATATTAACTAGACCGGTTTCTAACAATTTGGCAACAGCAAACAGAGATGGTTCCTAGGGAGAAAACATATTGCATTTTAATATTATAAGGAGAATTCTGGGTACATGAACTGTAAATAAAAACAGAATACTCTAAACAGCATGAGTATCATTAATTAGCATATATAAAGTTACTTAATAAATATAACAAAACCTATTGTCACAAAACAAGCCTTTCTGTCAAGATATTCTACTATTCAGAATAGATCCTAATTAGATGATTTGATTGAAAACGCTTTTACAGGGAAAGGGTAAAAGTCCAAAAGTTACACTTAACCTAGAGAATGGCTAACAATAAGAGTATTTCATTTAAATATCTACAAATTTAAAGATTTTTTTTATTATATATTTCTAACACTTTTATAGTACTGACAATATCCAATACGGAAATGCTTAATAGTATCTTTCTTAGTAGAAATCAGTGAATTAAGTACATTAAGGTTTTAAGACCCTTCCTCCCTGTGCTAATGTGGAGGTGTCTACAAATTTTGATGGCAGAAAAATTAATGATTCTAGAGAAAATATGGTATTGTGGTTGTGACTGACATCTATGAAGTTTTAACTGTCTGGGATTTCATCTTGATTCTGCCACTTAACAGCTATGTAACCTTAGGTAGATTGCTATCTCTACTGAACTTTTTAATCATTAACATGGAGATAATAATAGTATAGAAACTACCTCATATCACAAAGTACATGACACATAAGAAATTCCTCTCAAATGATGTCTAGTATTACTTCTTCCCCTTTCTCCTTATTTTAGCGAGAATATACACAGGAATCCTATATAGCATTTAAAAGAACACAAAGATGCCTAAGATTCATACCTAAAGAAGTTTACTCAAGAACCCTAGAATGTAGTTGGCATTTTTACTTTTTAAAAATGCCATAGGTGACTTTGAAAATACCCAAAGTTAAGAGTCACTAGCAAGAGTAAAGCTTTGGGTTGAGAAATAGATAGGTTCAAATCCAAACTCTACTGTTTACTAAATAAATGATCTCAGGCAAGTTACTTATGCTCTCTATTTTCATGTTTTCATTTGTAAGAAGAGAAGGCTAACTCGGAAGCTCATAAAGTTGTTTTAAGTGATTAAATTAATTAAGTCAGTGGTGAGCATACAGAAAACACTCAATGAAAAATAGCTGCTTTAATACTTCTATTGTTACACTGAGCTGGGTAATATGCTTTGCTTCATACTTATCAGCTTCACCTTCTAAGAAAGAATTTACAAACCTTACAATAAATTACATCCATAACACATTAGTGCAAATTCCTGAAATGAAGACCAAAACCAAGATGTTGGTCACTTTAAAGTAATCTCTACAATAGAAATCCCTACATTTAACTCACTCAGAACAGATGACATTGTTAAATCTATTTTCTTAACAATGTAGAAAATTAACTTATTTTAATATCTGCATATTTATCACACTTATAATACTTTTTATAGAAGTCACATCTGACTAATAAACTTTTAATAACCTCCATCTAGAAATGTTTTTATAAAGTCTGTATTTAATACATTTATAATACAATATTATTCAATTTCCCCCCCTTATTTTGTGCTAGGGAACTGAACCCAAGGCCTTGCAGATTACTTGAATATTTTTATAAAGCTTTCATTTTCATTTCATATTTGTCATTTCACTTTATAAAACTGAATCCTAAAATGGAGAGATGTGAATCCACTCTTATAAGAAATTATCTCAGTACTACTCAGTATATTCATGTTTTCAACATTTGTTCCCTCTAAGTCTTCCTTAAAAGTCACATCTGCCCCTCTTGAAATTGTATTCTTCAAGGTTAACAACAATTATTAAACACCAAAGCTCCTGTTTTTCTCTCATTGATTATGATTTCTTGTAAAGTTTTTATCTTTTGATCCATGAATTTGCCTTTTATAATCTGTTTTTTTTTTTTTTTTTGGTGGGGTGGGGTACTGGGGATTGAACTCAGGGGCACTTAACCACTGAGCCCTTTTGTTGTATTTTATTTAGAGACAGGGTCTCACTGAGTTGCTAGGTCCTTGCTAAATTGCTCAGGCTGGCTTTGAACTTGAGATCCTCCTGCTTTAGCCTCCCAAGATACTGGGATTACAGGTGTGCGATACCACACCTGGCTTGCCTTTTTAAATCTAAATCCTACCATTCCTTTCCTATCTAGTTCCAATCACACACTAGTTTATTTTGGCTAACTTAACTCATTTTAATAGATATATAAGTATCTCATGTAATAAAGAATTAAGAATTCCTAAAATAAGTTTTATCAAATAATAAATACTATATATTTTGGGGGGGACAAGAGGGTGGTGGGGGCAGGGATTACCAGAGATTAAACCCAGGAGCATTGAACCATTGAACCATATCCTCAGCCCTTTTTTATTTTTGAGACAGGGTCTCGCTAAGTTGCTCAGAGCCTTGTGAAATTGCTGAGGCTGGTCTTGAACCTGTGATCCTCCTGCCTGAGCCTATCAAACTACTGGGATTGCAGGCATGTGCCACAAAGCCCAACAATATCTATACTATTTGCTTAGACTCTCATACCAAATTAACTGTGATTTACCTAGAGTGAAGCAGTTTATATCTTATTTAAAAGTAGAAACCTATTTCTTTTATATCTTCCAGCAGAATGTCATTTCTTTTATATCTTCCAGCAGAGGGTTTGTTACATGAACACATAAATTCTCAAGAAATTATATGTTTGCATGTTTTTCTTTACGGCACTCTTCAAAATATTATAGTTTTGTGTTAAGAATCTCAAAGGTGGAGGATTACTCACATATCAATAAATTGATTAGTTTACTATACTTGTATCCTTGCCTGAATTTTTGGAGCAAATTTTAATACATGTTTCCAAACACCTAAATGTTTATGTAATTATCTAGTTATATGCTATAATAAATAAACCTATGCTTTGATGAGAATTTCTTCTTAGAGAGTAAGTCACATGAGCCAAGATAACAAGCCATAGTACACAGAATTAAGGATTAAGGAGACAACATATTTTTGGACCATACATATAGATATGTTAAATAAATTACTGGGTTTTCTTCATGTTATTTGTAAATGGTGAAACTATATTCATTAATTTCAAAATATAGAAAGGACTTTATTTTTGTGTGGTTCTGAGGGTCAAACCCAGAACCTCACACATACCAGGCAAGCATTCTACCACTGAGATATATCCCCAGCCTGAAAGCAGTTTATTTGAAATATTACTAAGATATAAATAAGCCCAAATTTTCCTGTGCTTTCCAAGTATAACAAAATGAAAATGTGAATATAAAGAAATGTTTCTGAATGTCAATATTCAAAAGTACTGTTCTATTAATTTAATGAGTAAACACAAAGTTTAATTTCAAAGTTAGGAGAGTCACTACCTTTAGATCCCAATGAAGGCATGAGAAACGAAGACATGTATTCCTTAATTTAAATACTGTAATATTCTGATCAAAAATTTTAATCACAAGCATTACTGTGACATTTTAGGAAATAAATTCATAAAAATTATGATGCATTATTCTTTATAAAAATCATTTTTAGAAATATTCACTACTCGAGCCAGGTGCAGTTAACACACTCCTGTAATCCCAGCCGCTCAGGAAGCTAAGGCAGGAGGGCTGTGAGTTCAAAGCCAGCCTGAGCAACTTAATGAGGCACTAAGGAACTCTATCTCTAAATAAAAGACCCTATCTCTAAATAAAAAAGGGATAGAGATGTGCCTCAGATGGGCTTAATCCCTGGTACAGGAAGAAAAGAAAGAAAAAAGAAAATCACTGCACAAGAAAAATGGGCACAATTTAAGTCATATAACATATTTAGACATAATAAATAGTAACACAAATCATGTCCTCTTTACTCCCCCTTCTACAAATAATAACCAAAAATGGTAAAAACCTATCAATCAGTCTATTGTTAACAAACTAAGTATTGGTCCTACTAGCAAAACACTGAGATCATAACATCTTATATGAGTAAATGCAATACTATATTTAGAATAGAAAGGTAGATTATCAGACCTTATTATTTCCATAGGCCATATCCATTGCTTCTAGAGATAAGGAACAGAGTGCATTTATTAAATGATGTAATGATACATCATCAAGATACCTAAAATAAAAATGAAGAAATAAGATATTTTGATCTAAAATATATAGCTAGTAAAATATTTTTCTATCAAATGTAAAATTGACTCTTACTGCGAGCTTTCAAACAATCTTGAAAGTATATTGGAAATCACTGGTAAATCTGTCATCACTGCAGTTGTTAGAACCTAAGAGAAGCATATTAAATTAAATATAACATGATATTTTTGGAAGCACTAATTAGATAAGAAGGACTAGAGCTTACTGTACTAGGTCCTTCTACAGCTCTTCCAGGTTTCAAGGCACCACCACTACTAGGCTTTAATCCCAGAATCCATACAAGATGCTGAAAAATTAAAACAAAGCAAATATACTTATAAAACTATAAAAATTCTAATAACTAGAATTAAAGGCAGTAGTAACTACTAGTAAATAAAATTAAAATCAGTAATTAATATTCTTATAAAATAATTACACCAAGTGTAAGCAGTAGAAGTTAGGCCATTATGAGAAGCACTCTACCACGTTCTGTGATATGAGCTATGTCATTTATTCCTTTGTAACTTCTCATTTTACATGCTTACTCTGTCATAGGTCTGCATGAAGCACCAATAGATAATGCTTAGTTTAATTGTTAGCAATTATAAGTAATAATATGCTAACCTCTGACCCAAGTACTTGAACATACCTGAAGAGTTGCCAAGACAAGTTGCCATGATGTTCCAAGAACAGCTCCATGACAGTGTGCCAAGTTAAGCAGAGTCCTCATACACTGGATATTTTTGGAAGTTAGCTATATTGAAAAAGGATATATCTGCAAGATCTGTTTAGCATTCTTAAAAAGTATAAGTTTATAAAGCAGCATTAATACATTCAAAGACTTTTTAAAAGTAAAACAAAGAAATATTAAGAAAACAGGTTTGAATAGTTTTACAAAACACAAATTAATCTGACTAAAAGTTGTCATGTTCATTACAATGTGACTGAATAGTTAACCAGTTTCTCCTAAAAATACTTTCCAGGTAAAAGAAAGTAATAACTACAGTAATAAATTTTGGCAAATGCAAAAAGGGGTAAAACATGTTTCCTTAATAATTTTGTTGGTAACCAACAAAAACAAGTATATTACCATTACTGTCCCTTGAGGCTGGACTGCTAGAGGTTGACCCACTGCCACAACCTGCTGGTGAGACTCACTTGATGGACTTATCATCATAACACTTTGGCCTTGAATAGAATACGCTAGAATACAAAGGAAAGTCTAAATAAGTAAAAAAAAAAAAAAATGCTTTTATATTGCAATCAGAGTAACAGAATATTTTAAAATATTAATTTGATTAAATAAAGTTCCACCGTGACACTTATTTAAATACCAATAATATCTATTATGAGTGTGCTAACATTATGAAAACTCATGGGGTATGGGGTATAAAAACCAAGACAAGTTAAGCAAATATTAAGTGGTTTTCAGTATCGATTGTAAAAAAAATATAAAACTCTGGTTATTATCTTCATAAACAAAATGGAATTAGAACAAATTAAGTTTAAACATCTATTTGTAGTATACTTGTATAGTTAAAGTCAGAGAACAATATATTTTTAGTTTGAAAACTTTACTATCACATTAATGTATACTATACATGCTCTCAAAGTATTCAACGTAAATGAATTTTTGAAGTTGAGCTTAACCTAAGTAGTTATAAAGATTAACCATTCTACTAGTTCCATTTAATACAAAATATCAACCACTATTTCAATATTATGTTAAATTTTTAACAGACTTATAGTTTTATTTTGTTTGCATGATTATGTTTTAAAAAGATATTATTATCCTCTCCCACTCCCACTGTATTAAAGAGATGGGAAAAAACTGAAGCTCAGGGACAATCACTTCCCTAAGACCACACAGTCAGTAAGTGGAACAGCAGAGATGTGAACTCAGAATTTCTATAATCATTTCTCTATATCACCCAACAAGATGGAGGGAACGTTGTACAAGCTTAAGTCTTACATTTATTAGAAAGTGTAGCTGCTGTGGTGGTGTTCAATACAGTAAGGGCATAATGCGGAGGCAAGGAACCTTTGCATATTGCAGTTATAAAGGCATCTCTTGAAGTTACAAGGCCCAGTCTTCCACAAAGAGCAGCCATAGTCAGTTCAGCTTTTAAGATATTCTCAGTGGCAGCTTCATCTGTGCTGAAAGATAAGGTATTTTATTTAACTGATTAACTTATTTTAAATTGAATTATAAAATATGACTTGAAATTAGGTATTCAGTAAAGTCTTAAGAAAATCTACCCAAAATATCAAAAATCAATATACTTAAGAAGGAATTTTAACCAATTAACATAATATCTGAAAATTTAAACTGGGTAAATACAATGTACAATGCACACATTTATTATGGAAGAAAATTATCAAGAACTGAAAAGATTTAACTTAAAACATGGAGCATTTTAAAATCAGCAAAAATTCTGCAATCCTAAAGAAAAATAAATCAAATAAATTAAATATGATAATGATCATTGTAAAAATAGTAGTATGTCTTAAAATGAATAGAGTGTTCTATAATTTGGGATTGTATTTTCTATTAAAACACTGACACTGTGACAATTGTGGTAGAGGGCAGGGCAGGGACAGGATGAGGAAGAGCAATGGCTGTAAAAGAATAATGTTCTTGAAGAAATGATAAGGATCACTTGCACATTGTATACATATATTTTATCGAACTGTATTCCAAAGATATGAACAATTAAAAATAAGTTATAATGTTCTTTCTATATACCCTTTAGCAACCCAGGCTTATTTTTTGATTGAACTAGACCCTAGTAATTTCCAGACTAAATGGATTTCAGAAGTTCTGAAAGTTTGAACTGTTAGAAAAATGCACAGCCTACATGTGGCCACAGAGGGAATCTTCCTCTTAAGCCAAATGCACTCTAAATATTGAAATGTCATTTTCACAGCTAATACAGTTTTTCCCAGATGGATTATTTTTCAAAATTGGTTGACATTAGTAGAAGTACAGATTCTTTTTTTTTTTTATTAGGTGCTCATGACAATACAAAGATCTTGACATATCATACATTTGAGTCAAGTGGGGTATGGTTTCCCATTTTTCCAAGTGTGCATGTTGCAGAGTCACATTGGTTATATAGACACGTATATACATACAGCAATACTAGTGTCTATTTTATTCTGCTGCCCTTCCTATCCCCCCTCCCCCGCCCCTCCCCTCCCATCGCCTCTCTCTGCCCAGTCTAATGTGATGCCTTTCTTTTTTTTTTTCCCTCACATCATCATACATGTACATTTCTTTGAGTTTGAAACGAACCAATGTTGAAAGTAATGTTCTCTGGGTGGAAATGTGAATAAAGATGTTTCTAAAGTCAAAAAATAAAAATAAGTTATAATGTTCTTTCTATATAAAACACTAATATTAGAAAATAAATTCTTCAAATTCAAGTAAACCATTTTAATATTTGTTTAACTCCCATGATCTAATATAAAACTTACAAAGACTTAATACCTGGCATCAAGAAGGAGTGAGAGTGCAGCAAGAAGACCACACCAGCAAGCATTCACCATTTCTTCCCAAACAGCTCTACTAACTTCAAGGAAAAAAAAAATAATAATACTTAATGACAATAATAGATGTCATAATATTTAATGACAATTCAAATTCTAAAATCTCCCATGTTAATTGACAATAAGTCAAATATTTTATCAACTCAACTGTTAGAATACTGAATCTTTTGTATTTAAAATATACCCGAATAAATAAAGCTTTAGGTCAGGCATGGTTGTACACATAAAGATTCCTAGCTACTCCAAAGGCTGAGCAAGAATATTAAAGGTCCAGGCCAGCCTAAGCAACTTTGTAAGACACTATCTCAAAATAAAAATAAAAAAATAAAAAGGGCTGGGGATATAGCTCAGTGGTAGAATGCCACTGGGTTCAATTCCCAATGCCAGAAACAAACAAACAAAAAAACAAAATTAAAAGCTATACTACAGTGGCTTAAAACTTTATAAAGTCTTAAAACTAAGTTGTTTGAAAACATCTATTGTAAGATTTTTCTATACATGAGTTAACTGATTCATATCTTATTAAAAAATATATTAACATCAGTTCCTATTTTCTTTTCTATTAGCCAAACTTTCAATCTCTAGGACCAGCTGGGAATGAGGATGAGCTATATAATAATAAGCTGGCTTGGGCAGGATTCTGATTAGGTACATTGGAAATCATGCAAATAAGCAAATACATTGAGTAAATGAGAATGGGAAACTGAAGTTACATATATGGAAAGGTAAAAATAAACCCAGTGGTATTGAACTGGAATAGAAAAATTAATATGATGTCATAGTATTTAATAGAGCAAGATAGACATTTTTAAAATATTGAGATATGTGTTGTTGTTTTGTGTGTATTTCCTATCCAAGTAGCAAGAAGCATCCCTAGTGCCCTGCCCATGTGTTAGTTTCAATACTATTTATTCTCCAAGACTTCTTGGAAAACTAACCTGACATTGGGGCTGGATAAGAAATACTTAACATCTTATTTTATTAAACAGCGAGGAAGTACCCAGATAAGGTCAAAAGACTTGAGACACGTATTGAAGGGGACACAGGGCTGGGCAGGGTGGCACATGCTTGTAATCCCAGTGGCTCACGAGACTGAGGCAGGGGCACTGCAGGTTCAAAACCAGCCTCAGCAATTTAAAGAAGCTGTAAACAATCTAGTGAAACCCTGTCTCAAAATAAAAAGGGCTAGAGATGTGGCTCAGAGAATAAGTGTCCTTGGGTTCAGTCCCTGGTACCCCGCCCCCCAAAGCCCTGGCAAAAAAAAAAAAAAAAGACACAAGGGCTAGCTTCAAACAGGTCAGTCTGAGCATCAAACTAAATAATGATAGTCATAGATTTAGTCTTTTGAATAAAATCAAAATCCATGAATCTACACTAAATAAAATTAAAATCCATGAATCTACATTAATATAAGTATATAAATTTCTAAGAATAGCAAATGGTGGAGAAGAGAAAGAACTTTTATAATATATTTTATTAGAAAAATATGTGATTTTACACAAAGGAAATCTGGCTGACATATTAGTCATAGATAAAAGTAAATATCTCCAATTATGAGATAAATTGACACTGTATGCTTCCTAATGCACTGGCACACTAAATATAACACAGCAACATTTCTATGCTAATTCTGCATCAAATGAATAAATTAAATATAATTGTGAAGAAACATAAGACAAAAGCAAATTGTCCTGTTTCCTCAGAAGTATCAAGGTCATATAAAACAAGGAAAAACTAAGGAATTTGATCCACACTGAAGGAAAGCATAGACACATCGAGATTAAATTCAACAGATAAACCTGGACCATAAGAGCACTATAGGGGTAACTGACAAAATCTGAATGAGTTGTGGGTTTAGATATTATTGGATTGATCCTAATTTCTGATAGTGTTTGTACTATAGTATGTTGGAGACTTAGTTTTAGAAAATCCACACAAAGTAATTAAGGGGCAATGAGGCATCATATCTACAACTTATTCTCAAATAGTTCAGAAAAAACAATGACATGTACATAAATAGAATGGTAAGGTAAATATGGTAAAGTGTTAACAATGGGGAATAAGGGTAAATGACAAGGAAACTCTACTACTTTTGCCAGTTCTCTGTAAATTTCAAAATAATAATTAAAAATACAGAATGGTAATACACACCTATTTCCTTATCCATTTGGTCTGATGTTGACTGTAAATCTTGCTGTTCTGATGAATGCATTGGTGAAGAAGCCACTTCTGAGGTAGACTGATATTCTGTTTCAACCTCTCCTAACTCTCCTTCAATCATACTAGTGATTCCCCGAACAAGGTCTAGCAAACAATGGAATGCCACAGACATGGCATAACCTTCTGGTATAGTTGGAGGCTCAACTTTGTCCAGCATCTCTAGGCTGAAATTTTGAAAAAATTAAACACTAATGAGAAACCAAAATCAATAAATATGCAAAATTCTTTCCATTATTTGTAGACTATGAAAACTGACATTAATAGAATAGCCAAAATAAAAAGATATTTCTGAGTTTGTTTAATTTGGAGAAGATCCATTTATCATATTCTAAGAAACTGATTAGAAAAATTAAGACCTGGCCCCTGCCATAACTAATTACTTTAATTTTTTACTTCATTTTTCCCTACAATACTGACAATACTTTCATTAATTGTTGATATTTGAAAAATAAAGATTTAGAAACAAAATAAGCAAATTAAAAACTTTTCAAACTCTGATTTTAGGTGCTTTTAAAATGAGGTGCTAAAATCAATACTACAAAGAGGAAAATACTTTCACATTGGGGAAAAGCATAAATGTGAGATACCTAGTTTACCTATCATTCCAGATACAATATACCAAGAGTATAAACAATACTTAACACAAGTGTCAAGTTCAAGTTGCAGAAGTGTTTCTACTGCATAGTTAAGAGAAAACTTTCAGAGGGAAGGACAAAAAAATCTTGTGTCTTACACCATGCCAAATAAGGAATTGTGGTTTTAAGCATTGTATAGTTTTCTGTCAAGATAACACCACGAAGAAAGAATAATCCAATTGGGAACGAATTAATGGTACTGAGACAACTGGACATACAAGAGAGACATTGGGTCTCTACTTTATGCCACACACAAAATTAAATAAAAATGAACTAATGACCTAAATGCAAAGGTAAAAATCTTCATGACCCCACATTAGATAATGGTTTGTAACATGAAGCCAAGAGTGCAAACAACAAAAGAAACATGGGGGTTGGGATTACAGCTCAGTTGTAGAGCACTTGCCTTGCACATGTGAGGACTGGGTCTGATCCTCAGCACCATGTAAAAATAAAATAAAAGTATCATGTCCATCTACAACTAAAATACATTTTTTAAAAAAGGAAAAGCAACACTAGATTCAACAAAACTATTGTTAAAACTATTGTGCTTCTAAGTGCAGTATCAAGAAAAATAAAAACAACTCAGAATATGAGAAAAATTTTGCAAATTAGATATCCAACAAGAGACCTGAATCTAGGATATAAGAAAGCTCTTACAACTATATAATAAAAAGATAACCAAATTATAAAAAGCAAAAGATCTGAATAGACATTTCCCCCAAGAGGACAGATAAATAGTCTACAAGCACAAAAATAGATGTTCAATATTGTTAATCATTACGGAAGTACACAATACCACTTTGTAACCACTAGAATCTCTAGCATCAAAAAGATGAACAATTTCAAATATTGCTCAGGATGTGGAAAAATCTAAAATCCTTTATACATTGTTGATAGGAATGTAAAATGATGCAGTTGCTTGGCAAACAGTTTGACAGTTCCTCAAAAGTAACTCATGAAAAAAACACAGACATTGAAACTAAGTATTAAAGTGAAGTAGTTATTAATTAGTAGTTTTCAACTCAAATCTGACTGAGCTTAAGCAATTGAACCACTAATATGTATCAAATCAGCTTTGTAAAATTTAGGTAACTAATAGAAAAATATTGATATTATTGATCAAGAAATTTAAACTCAAATGGGGAGATAAAGTCCATGGATTATCAGGACTTTATCAGGCCAGTTATCACAAAATCACATAGTAAACAAATCAATGAGAAGCATCTTGTTCAACAGATTGCTGTTTTCAAAGAATATGTTATTAGGAAAATACATCAAAATGAAAATAATTCTAAAGACCAAAAACTCTGATTTTTAAATTCTATGATGTAGGCTTTAAGTACTATAATAGTTAAGAAAAAGGGTGATTTACATTTTGTATTCATGTCAAAAACAAAACACACTTGTTTTCCTCCAAATTTTTCATTGGTGCATAATGGTGGGATTGTATATAATGGTGGGATTTGTTGTTACATATTCATATGTGCACATTCATAACAATATAATTTGGCCACTATCATTCCTAAATATTTTCCCTTTCCCTTTACTCGTCTTACCTCCAGTCCCTTTTCTCTATTCTACTTACCTCCCTTTGAATTTCCATGATATCCCCCAACCTTTCTTTTCCTTTTTCCTCTACAGCTTCATATACAAGAGAAAATGTACAACCCTTGGCATTCAGAATTTCAATTATTTTGCTTAACATAATGTTTTTGAGTTCTATCCATTTTCCTGCAATTGACATATCTCATTTTTTCTTTTTAGATGATGTTAATTTGTTGCATATGTTAATTTGGCTATTACGAATTGTGCTGCTATAAACATAGGTATGCATGTATCACTATGGTTTGGTTACTTTAATTTCTTTGTATTAATACTAAGAAGTCCTATAGCCAGGTCATAAGGTGGTTCCATTCTTAGCCTTCTGAAGAACCTCAATACTGATTTCAATAGTTATTATACTAATTTACAATCCCACCAACAGTGTACAAGTGTTCCATTTTCTCCACATCTTCCCTAGCAGTTATTATTGTTTGTATTCTTCATGGAATCCATTCGGACGAGACTGAGACAAAAATCTCAGTATAGTTTTGATTTATATTTTCCTAAAGCTAACGATGAAGAAAGCTTTTTTCATATATTTGTTGGCCATTTGTATTTCTTTTTTTTGAGAAATGTCTGTTTTAATCATTTGCCCACTAATTAATTGGGTTACTTGGTTTTGTTGCTGTTAAGGTTTTTTATTTCTTTATATGTTATGGATATTAATCCTCTGTAAAGAGAGTAGCTAGCAAAATTTTTCTCCCATTCTGTAGGCTCTCTCTTCACTTTCTTATTTCCTTTGTTATGCAGAAGCTTTTTAATTAGATGTCATCCTATTTATTAACTCTTGGCATTATTTCCAGAACTTCAGGGTTTCTACTGAGAAAGAGATTGCCTATGTCTATATGTGGCAATGTTGACCCTACAATTTTTTTCTAGGAGTCGCATACTTTCTGGTCTTATTTGTAGGCCTTTGATCCATTTTGAGTTGACTTTAGTGCAAGGTAACAGATAAGAGTCTAGTTTCATTCTTCTACACATGAACATCCTTGCTTTTTCCAGATTTTAAAATAAATAGTTTCAGTTTTTCCATATCCACTATGAGGTTGGCTTTGGGTTTTTCAAATGATAAACTTTTATGATGTTGAGGTAGATTCTTTAGTTTCTTTAATGTGTTTATCATGAATTGTTAATTGTGTTGCACTCTTTTTCTCCTCTATTCAGATGACTAAATGATTTCTGTCTTTAATTGTGTTTACAAGATGAATTACATTTATTGATTTGCATACGTTAAACCAACCTTGCATACCTGAGATAAAATCAACTTGGTGATGATGTACAATCTTCTTAATATGTTCTTGAATAAAATTTACTAATATTTCATAAGGATTTTTGTATCTAAGTTCATCAGGGACACTTCTGTAGTTTTCTTTCCTTGATGTGTCCTTCCTTATCTGGTTTTGGTATGAGTRTGATACTGGCTTTGTAGAATTAATTTGGAAGTGTTTCATACCTTTCAATTTCATGGAATAATTTCAGGAGCATTATCATCAGTTCCTCTTTAAAAATCCAGTAGAATTCAGGCGAGAATCTACCCATTTCTGGCTTTTCTTTATTGGAAGGATTTTTATTACTGTTTCTACCTCATTGCTAGTTATTGCTCACTTTAGGTTTTCTGTGTCCTTTTTATTCAATTTTTTACAGGTCGGCTGTGCCTAGAAATGTATCCATTTCTTCTAGATTTTCCAATTGATTACAGTATAAGTGTTCAAAATAGTCCCTAATGATCTGCTGGATTTGTGTGAAGTCTGAACTGGATTATCCTTTTTCATCTCTAATTTTATTAATTTGGGTCTTCTCTCTTTGTTTTTTGGCTAGTTTGGCCAAGAGCTTATTAATCTTATCTTTTCAAAGAACCAATTCTTCCTTTTAATTCAGGATCCTTTGTATTTTTTTCTTAGTTTCACTGCTTTTGGCTCTGGTCTTAATTATTTTTCTTCCTTCTATTGGTTTTAAAATTGGTGTGTTCTTTTTTAGGGAGGGGGGGTACCACAAATTGAACTCAGTGGTACTACACCACTGAGCCACATCCCAGCTCTATTTTGTATTTTATTTAGAGATAGGGTCTCACTGAGTTGTTTAGCACCTTGCAACTGTTGAGGCTGGCTTTGATCTTCCTGCCACAGCCTTCTGAGCAGCTGGGATTACCACCATGCCCAGCTGTTCTTTTTAAAGAGACTTGATATTTATTAGGTTATTTATTTAGGATCTTTTTGATTTTTCTTTCTTTTTTCTAAATATTTTTTTTAGTTGTAGTTAGACACAACTTTTTTTATTTATTTGTCTATCTATCTATTTATTTATTTATATGTGGTGTTGAGGATCGAACCCAGGGTCTTGCACATGTGAGGTGAGCACTCTACCACTGAGCCACAACCCCAGCCCCCCACCCCACCCCACCCCATCCCCGCGCCCACCATTGATTTTCTTATGTAGGTACTTATAGCTATAAACTTTTGTCTCAGAATTGCCTTCACAGTGTCCCAGAGATTCTGGGATATTATATCTCTATTCTTGTTTAAGTCCAAGAATTTTTAAATTTTTCTCTTAATTTCTTCTATTATTCATTCATCATTCAAAAGTGTATTATTCAGGGCTGGAGCTGGAGCTCAGTGGCAGAGTGATTGCCCAGTATGTGTAAGGCACTGGGTTCCATCATTAGCACCACATAAGAATAAACAAATAAAAGCATGCTATCCATACACAACTACTAAAAAAATTTTTTAAGTGTATTGTTCAACATCCACATTTTATATAGTTCTTATAGATTTTTGGAGTTCATTTCTAATTTATTTCCATTATGATCTGATAAGAGTTGCTTTGCAGCCTAAAATATGGTCTATTTTGAAGAAGGTTCTATGATTTCCATGTGCTTAACTCTAAGAAGATTAGCAAAATATTTAAAATAACATTCCTCACATATAGGATGTTGAAAGTTAGATATATCACTACTCCCATTTTATAAATGAGAGAATGAGGTTAAAAATTTAATTTACCAAAGGTAACTCAATTAATATAAGAAGATCAAATTGAAGAATATGAAACCAAGCCATATTAGTGTATGTTTGTGTTTTTATTTACTGACTACATCACTTACTAAAATGTAAGCTTCATGAGGGCAAGAATTTTATTCTGTGTTGGTTTTGTTTTATGTCAGTTTGTAAAATGAGGTGAACTATCTAGATAATTATTAATGCCTCCTTTGGCACTAGAAATCTAATTATTTTACAATATGATTCTCTAATGCACTAGAGTCATTATCATTATTTTTTTTAACCAAAGCAGAGCCAATATTAGACTAAGTAATGTCTTTTAAAATATACAATGAATATACAGATATTTCAGTTCTCTGTAATTCTACACTTTTACAATTTTAGGCAAAAAAAAAGAAGCATAGTTAAGTATCAAAACGCAGATTGATACAATGCAGACTAACATACCATAAAAATTTAGATTTATAGTAGTTAATTTTTATTTTACATTTTAAGTCTTGATTTACTGTCATCAAAATAGTATTTTACTTATATACAACAATTATTCAAAGTATATCAGTAACTGACTCACAGTAACTAAAGCAATATTAAACCCATGTAATATTGATTGCTTTATTTCTGTTAGTATTACATTTCACTAGTTATTAAGAAAAATCAATAATACATTGCTGAATATTTATTTGTTAAACTGATGGCTAACTGCAGTTTCAATAAATTAAGAACCAGAGTTAACACGTGTTTAACCTTAACAACAAGAATAATTATTTAAAATAACGTTCCTCCCATGTAGAACGTTGAAAGTTACATATACCAGTGCTTCCATTTTATATATGAGAGACATTAAATTAAAACAATGATTAATTTGCTAAACGTAGTTTTGTAGGAAACTTGAGGAGGTAAAGAAATCATATTTGTTTTATAATGCTGTTAACAGTCTATATAAATAGCACAAAAACAAACAAACAAAATCCAGTTCTAAATAAAATCCTCAAAATTGACAACAGCAAATGAGCTCTAAAATATATTAGAAATATGGGGTCTAAATTTAAAATATAATACACACAAAAGCATTTTAGGATTAAATATTATTCCTAACACTATTTTGTTCCTTATAAAATAATGTCACCATTACTTACTAGGTGGCTTTAGCACTGCCTTGAACTGTTACCGTCAGAATAGGTATCCAAGTTCCTCTATATTCAAATGCTGGTAGCAAAGTAACACCTCCACCAATTCCCACCATTCCTGAGTTAGCTGGAGCTGAGACTGGGCCACCTGAATTATTGTTGCCTATTAGATAAGGAGGGAAAGCAAAGATACCAATTTACTACTTGATTACAAATTAATACTATTCAAACACCTGGTCAATCTTCAAATTCTTTTCTGTACTATAGGTATTACACATATAAATGAAATTTATTAACCTAGTCTGTCTACCAAAGAAATCTATTTCCCTAAAACACTACTTCCTTTTTTATACAAAAGCTATTAGCGTAAGTAAAAATATGGAAAAAATATTTTAAAAAATAGGATTTGTTCAAGTAAGAAGAAAAGAGACAGAACTCCCTCAGGGTAAGAGGGACCTGATAGAGGTTGCCCTGAACAAAATTTTTATTATACTTTTGATTAGACCTCTTTTTACCAAAGGTAGGAATAAAAAACACAAAGTCTATCAAACAGATAGTACAAAGTGATAAAGAAGGTAAAAGGAAACAAGCTTAAAACAAACTTAAAACACGTTAACCTCTTTTGTTAAAAAAGAGACTGACAAACCTCCTAAAGTAGTAACTATCTAGTCTCTTTTAAAAGAGGAATCAAATGAAGATTCTTCTAAAACGAATGGTATCTAAACTTTTGTTCTCATATGATTAGAGAAACAAAAATACACCAGGAAAGAAAATAAAAATAAATGTCACAGTAAGATCAAATTATTTAAGTATAAATTATTACTATGAAAATATTTACTTAATCCAAATTTCCCTAGATAGAATTTCTAAAATAAACCCTCTCAGAACAGTGAATATTGTAAATTATAGCAGAACATAAAAACAAAATATGAATATGCTTTACCAGCTTGGTTGGTTGTAGCAGGATTTCCAGTAGGAGGAACAAGAAACAAGGACTGGATAAATGATCCCAGTGCATTCACAATATCACGAAAAACCTTGGTAGAATGTTGTTTCATATCATAGGACTGACAAAATGACCTGTAAAATCATTTTAAATGTTTCTGAGAAAAAAATTTAAATGCATTAAAAAAATTAGTATTTTTTTAAAGCAAGTAATGTTGTTATTGTACTTTCAATGCCATACTCAAAAGATAATTCATCACACCTGAGTAATTTTACCAATTTAGGACAAAGGTTCATACTGAAGTCAATGTTCTAAAAAAAAGATCTTGGCTATATTTACTCAGCAAATTCAGACAGATGGCAATTATTAACTACATATTTTGACTTCATTCATTGCTTCCACCCTGTCCCTTCATATATTTATACATATATATATAAATTATACAAATTTTCTGTTTAAAAATCACTAATGTTTGGGAATACTTAAAATCTTCCCACTAGTTTACTAACATACTACTAGTTTATTAACTTATCCATTACAAAATATTGCTGAGGTTTTACCTTAACAGCTGAGGCTGCACACATAATCTGTGTATTGATTCAACCGCAACAGCTCGTAGCCACTGTGGTTTATCTGCATCCAGAAATTTCACCAAAAGTGACAGAAATATTTCACATTCAGTTACCTAAAAAGTATAGGGTTTTTTATATTTGTTTGAATCAAAGAAAATAATAAAAAGTTGCATTCTTACTCTTAATTTAGTGCCATAGACAATAAAATCTTTTAGATTTGAAATAAAAATTCTTAATGGTGATTAGAGAAAAAGACAAAAGTAATCATAAGGAAAAAAGTTAGCAATAAAAATACTCATAGTATCTCCTTAGTACATTCCTGAAAACACTAGTATTCTGCTAACATAATTAATCCTTTATCCTTATTCTTTAGAAAGTATAGCACACCAGTAAGTCCTCTTCAACCCTGCCAATAATATTTAGGGAACAAGTAGGGAAGTGGTATTTATTTGGCCTCATGACAATAAAAAATTTCTAAACACTTTGACTTCACTACCACAAGGCCTGGCAATGATTTAACATAACAGTACAACTACACTGATCCTTATATTTCTTTATCTTTTTAAAAATCTCTTGACACTCCATACTGACTGATATTTCTATATCCTAATTATTTTTACTTTTACTATTTTGCTGACATTTTAAAAAGTTTTAAATCATGGTAACAATACATAACATTAAACTCATTCTTTTAATGGTATTTAAGTATACGGAACAGTAGTGTGTTAACTATATTCACATTGTTGTATAATACATCCCTAGAACTTTTTCAACTTGTAAAATTGAAACTCTATACCCATTTAAGACTAACTCCCTAATCCTCAGTCCATGGAAATCACCATATTTTGTCTCCATGAACTTACTCTAGATACAGGAGGAATCACACACTATTTGTTTTTCTGTGACTGGCCTATTTTACTCAACATAATGTCCTCAAGGCTCCACTGACAGGACTTCTCTCTTTCTATGGCTAAAAAACATAACAATAAATGTACATACTGTCATCTTTATCTGTTCATCTGTCAATAAACATTTGAACTGTTTCCACTTCTTGGCTTTTGTAGAAAACATTTCAATAAACACAAGTGTGCAAATATTTCTTTATATCATATTTTCTTTTGGGTATATAGCCAGAAATTGAACTGTAGGATCACATGGTAATTCTATTTTTTTTTTTTCTCATTAAACTTTTGTTCCAATGGGTCTCAAAATTCTGTGACAGATTTTTGGTCAAGTTGTTCCCATTAAAAAGCACTGATTTTAGCCAGGCTCGGTGGTGCACACCTGTAATTCCAGTGGCTTGGGAAGCTGAGACAGGAGGATCCAGAGTTCAAAGCCAGCCTCAGCAATGGCGAGGAGCTAAGCAACTCAGTGAGACCCTGTCTCTAAGTAAAATACAAAATAGGGCTGGGGATGTGGCTCTGTGGTTGAGTGCTGGAGTTCAATCCCTTATACTCATTTAAAAAAACAAAGAAAGAAAGAAAGAAGAAAGTACTGATTTTAAAAACTAACAACTTAAAACTGCCACACACAAAAAACAAATGGTCCACAAAACATTCTCCTTTCCTTCTGAAGGTTTTACAATACATTTTTATCATTTACTAGTCTTTTACTGTTAAACGGCCAATTGAGACAAAAAGTCTGAGACCGTTCTTCCACCACTGAATAAGACTGGGGTGGCAGGTGTTAAGGGTAACATTCATATAGCCTTCTGAGCTTTCTGGGCAGACTTGGTGACCTTGCCAGCTCCAGCAGCCCTCTTGTCCGCTGCTTTGATGACACCCACACCAATTTGCCTCATATTACAAACAGCAAAACAACCCAGAGGAGGACAGCCCAAGAAGCTGTCAACACACATGGGCTTTCCCGGAACCATGTCAATGATGACAACATCACCAGATTTCAAGAATTTAGGACCATCTTCCAGCTTCTTACCAGAACCAACTTCTTACCAGAACAGTTATCAGTCTTTTCTTTCAGCTCAGCAAACTTACAAGCAATGTGAGCTGTGTGACAATCCAGTATAAAGGCATAGTCAGCACTGATTTACCCTGGATGGTTCAGGATAATCAACCTGTGGATAATCAAGCAGTGGAACCAGATGCTTCCATTGGTGGATCATTTCTGCTGTCACCACAACACTGCCATGATGAACATCTTTGACAGACATGTTCTTGACATTGAAGCCCACACTGTCCAGGAAGAGCTTCACTCTGAGATTCATGCTACATTTCAACAGACTTTACTTTAGTTGTGACATTGACTGGAGCGAAGGTGACCACCATGCCAGGCTTGATAACACTAGTCTCCACTTGGCCCATAGGGACAGTACCAATATCTCCAATTTTGTAGATCCTAGAGGGGTAGATGCAAAGGCTTGTCAGTTGGACGAGTTGGTAGCAGGATGCAATCTAAAGCTTCAAGCAGTGTGGTTCCACTGGCACTGCCATCATTATGGGTGACTTTCTATCCCTTGAACCAAAGCATATTAGAACTAGGCTCCAACATGTCACCATTCCTACAAGAAATTGGCACAAATACTACTGTGTCAGTGTTGTAGCCAATTTTCTTCAATGTAGGTGCTGACTTCCTTAACAATTTCCTCATATCTCTTCTGATTGTAGAATGCCACAGTGAAATCCATTTTGTTAACACCAACAATTATTTGGTGACTTGTTGTTTGCTTCAAACCCAGTATGTAAGCCAAAGTGCATGCTCACAGGTCTGTTCATCCTTGGATATACCAGCTTCAAATTCACCAACATCAGCAACAACAATTAGGGCACTACAGTCAGCCTGAAATATGCCTATTTTTGATAAAGTCTCTGTGTCCTGGGGCATCAATGATAGTCACATAATACTTGTTGGTCTGATATTTCCACAGGGAGATGTCAATGGTGATGCCACACTCATGCTCAGCTTTCAGTTTATCCAAGACTCACGTATATGTGAAGGAGCCCTTTCCCATCTCAGCAGCTTCTGTCTCAAAATTTTCAATGGTTCTTTTGTTGATCCCACCATGTTTGTAGATCAGATGGCCAGTAGTGGTGGACTTGCCCAAATCTACATGTCTAATGACCTTTCCATTTTGGCTTTGATTTAGCTATGGTTTTTACAACACCTGTGTTCTGGTAGCAAACAAGTTATGAAAAAGCTAGTAATTCTATTTTTAATTTGAGAAACTACCATACTGTTTTCCACAGTAGCTCCACCATTTTACATTTCCATCAATAGTACACAAAGGTTCCATTTCTCCACATCTTTGCCAACACTTGTTATTTTCTATTTTTTTTTTTGCCTGTTTCTTTTTTCTTTTTTTCATAGTGACCATCCTAATAGGTATGAGGTGATATCTCACTGTCATTTTGCTTTGCATTTCTCAAATGATTTGACAGGTTAATCATCTTTTCATATGCTTGTTGGATATCTGTGTATCTTTGGAGGAATGTCTATTCATGGCCTTTGCCTATTTTTAATTAAGTTACTAGGGGTTTTGTTGCTATTGTTGTTGACCTGTAGTTTTTTATATATTCTGGATATTAACCCTTTATCAGACATACAACTTGAAAGTATTTTCTCTCATTCTAAAGATTGCCTTTCTGAGTCAGGCATGGTGATACATGTCTTTTTTTTTTTTATTGGTTGTTCAAAACATTACAAAGCTCATGACATATCATCTTTCATACATTTGATTCAAGTGGGTTATGAACTCCCATTTTTACCTCAAATACAAATTGCAGAATCACATCGGTTACACATCCACATTTTT